ACCACTGTATATAACCTGTCAAAAACTGCACCCAAATGTAAATCCAGCCAGAGGGGCCTGAGGACACTCCACTGTTAGTGAGACCAGCCTGATGAGTGCAGAGAGCCTGCTGTGAAATCCTGTCTATGAATGCCATTAGAATCCACTCATGCAGCGCTTGTTAGCTGCGACATGCAATCCCTTTGGCATCCAACAACCAGAGCAACATAAATGTGAGACTCTTCCTTCAGAGGCGGGGTCTTGGTTCAAAGAAAACACTGGGGGAGGATGAGGTTGCTGCATTTCCTCATTCATCTGAGAAGGAGCTACACCGAGGAAGTATAGGATTACATTATCCTGCTTTATTCAAAGAACTCCCCCCAAAAAATACACCCAAACTTTGAAAATATCTTTTGACTGTACCAAAGTGTCTCTGGATACTTTTTCTTACAGCATCAGACACTGTGGACCTCTGACAAAAACAGGCATACACAGAAATCATACACATCCTTTATTCATGGCTGCATAAATCCACACACACAATGGTGTCTGCATCAGTCACACAGACACAAAACATGGGAAAACATGAGGACACATATACAACATGGGAAAAAAGGAGACATTAGCCATGACACATTACGGTGTCATGGATACTCTGCCATGCTGTAACCAAAGTAACTGAGCTGTGGGCTCTATTAGCTCTATTAGCTGCTAGCTGCTTTAGCTTCGTTAGCTGTCTGTGCAGAGGAACAGGCTGTTAAACACCAGTAACAAACAGCTGAGTGCAAAGAGCGAAGTTAACAGCTGATAAGCTCTGGAGTAGCCAGTTTGCACAGCTTCTCTTTATGATTTTAAACAACCCAATGTTAGCTACTTGTAGTCATAAGTCTCTCACCATAAAAAAAACAATGTCTTAATGGTGTTTCAACAGTTTTCATGTGTCTTTAGCTCATACCTGGGGGTTTTCAGGTGTGCTGCAGCTCCCTGAAAGTACTGCAGCAGTGTCCTCTTGCTTCAGCTGGCACAGCATACTGAGGCTCTGCCGGCAAGCTGTTTGTGATTGAGGGAAAAAGATGGACAGGTGCCACCTGAACATTCGGACCAAGCCCTGGCTGCTGACTGTTGTGGAGTTTATGGTATAAAGTACATTATACAAAGCTATACAAAGTCATTACTTAAATACATGAAAAGCTTGGATATGACATATGTCAGTGGGGATGAAATGATGCTGTATCTGTTTCTTCTTTTACTGACAAACCCACTGACAGTCATGGTCCACTACTATAATGAGAAATCGAACAGGAACCTGTGTTTCCTAAAACCCACACAGATGTTCTTCATCTTTTTCCTCCTGGCTGTAGGCTTAGTGCATATTGTGCTATTCTCAGCATGACCTGGCGAAGGCCTCTTTTAACATGTCTTTCCTCACAATACTGTGAATTTTCAGTGAGTTTGAGTGGGCTTTCTGACTCATACGTTTACTATCAGCATCACGCCTGAGGGCATGCTAGTGTTTCTGACCCTTTGGCTTAGGATGCAACAACACTTGGCTACAAACTCAAAACATATCCAACATATAGTAGACTTACCTTGCAGGTCTGCAGTATCTTTCAGGACTTCTCTTTCTTTGTGTTACGAAAGAAAAATAGATGCTTAATGGCTAGCTCTCAACGGATGGCAAAGCTCAAAACTGTGGGTGAAAATTCTCATGGGAGAGATATGGATTGATACTAACATTGTGTTTTGAGCTGATGCTCTGAAGACATCCCTCCAGGGTCCACTGGAGTAATCAATTGTATTTAAAAGTGAAATTACCATTCCTGTAGCGCATGACCCGGAGCATTTTTATCTTTCAGAGGGGAAATGATTTAAAACTTAACCAAATCTTAAAACACAATAGAAAACATCAGTGCAGACCTCCTTATGATGCTGTTTTCCATGTCAGATCATCAGAAAACAGATCTTGTAAATCTGCCCAGAAGTGCTGCTGATGGACATGACTGTAGAGGCAAGAAAAACAGAGACAAGAGGCGAGGAATAGAAATGCAAGGCAGGCTGAAAACTGCAGGGGTCAGCGGCTGTGTTAATGCCAGCTGTCAGATCAGATGAGTATAAACATAGACCTGTTTGATAAACAGTGTGCTTCCTAAAGTATATGCATTTTGGTACCTCGGCAGCTAAAATGAGTTAAACTCTGGATTGCATTTTTTCCTCAGAAGGTAAGAGTTTTTCAGACACTTTCTTTCAGACTGTGGTTGTTTTTGTTTCCACTCAACATGGACATGGTAGTGGGGGAAAAGTGGACCTCCCTACTCAGGGCCCAAGTAGGGAGAGGGGCCCATGAAGATCCTGATTTTTGTTTTGTGATGTTTTTTATTTCGAATTAATTTGGCCCATCATTTAATTGGTGTCATAATGTATTTCAAATATATTGATAACATCAGCTGAGAGAATGAACTTTATGTTACAGTCCTCCTGACCTATTGGACATTTTGGAGGCGCAAAATGGTTCAGTCCACCTGACAGCGACCGGTGACAGGTCAGTGAGCTCAAGTTGAATGACCTGGGGGTTAGACATCATGCTGTCAAAAAAGCATAAATCAGGGTATGAATGGAAGAAAGGGAGGAAAGAAACAGAGAGAAGGCAGAATGAGGGGATGCAGCTGTTGACTGCTTTCTTTCTCAAAGGTGAACCCAGTTTGCTTGTTTTGCAAAGTCCAATTAAAGTTAATGTAGTCCACTACAGACAGCTGTTGCTGATAGGGGCCCACTGACATTGAGAGTGTTAAAATTGCACTTTTAAATGTAAGATCTCTTTTTAACAAGTCTTTTCTGATAAACAACCTTATTTTAGCTAATAAAATTGATTTTATGTTTTTAACTGAAACATGGCATTGCACAGATGGACCTGTGACACTCTCCACCATATTATAATTTTTTATATTCTTTTAGACAGGATAGAAGAGGTGGGGGAACAGCTACAATTCTTTTAGCACAGCATGGTTTTAAAAACATTTTATTTGATGATTTTTTTTATCATTTGAACACCACCCATTTGTTTTTAACAGTCCCCCAATACTTTGTTGAACTATATACAGACCACCTAAGCGTTGCAAAAATTTCATCACAGAATTTTCAGAGCTGCTCGCATCTACCCACGCAAGGTTTGAAAGAGTTAATATTTTAGGTGATTTTAATCTGCACGTTGACAATCAATCAAACTCTTTTAGCACAGTATTTCTAAACCTTCTTAATTGCATGAATTTTTAGCAACGTGTAACACAGCGCCACCCACAACAGAGGTCACATTTTAGATCTAATAATTACCTGTTGCCTATCAGCTTCAGTGACCTCTGTTGTGGACATTGGCTTGTCTGACCACTTCTGTGTCTTTTTTAATGTAAAGGATTTTAAACAGCAGGAAATTTCAGTGCACACTGTCAGGAAGTGTTATCTTACTGCTGAAGTGTCTGCAGATCTTATTGATATCTTAACTGATATCCCCCCAGATGTTTCACCTTCCTCTTGTGATTTTATTGTTGAAAATCTTAACAGTAAACTTAAATCCACACTGGACACTGAGGCACCAATGAAAACCAAGAAGTTATCAACAAAACCAAAGCCCCGTGGAAAAAAAAAAAAAAAAAAAAAAAACTATATATATATATATATATATATATATATATAAATATATATATTACCAATCTATAAAGAAACTGCAGAAAAGCAGAACAGAGGTGACGAAAGGAAAAATTGAAGGTTCATCATAAGATTTTTTAGAGAACTGTACATCTACAATAATGCAATCAAACAGGCCGGAAGAGAACACTTTTCAAAATTAATAAATAAAAATCAGAATAACCCACAAACACTTTTTTCAACTATTAATCGTTTAATTAACCCTGTTTTTAACCAACTGTATAATTCGAACCTGTCATGTGACGACCTTGCAGTCCACTTCAGCAGTAAAATAAGTTTTATCAGATCAAACCTTTTACTTTCTCAGCGTTTAAATTTTTATCCCTCAGAACTTTTGCTTTTAAATGAGGAAACACTGGAGAGTTTTGTCCCTGGTTGATGCCGAGATGCTTGAAAAAGCTTTTAAACAACTCAAAACAACTACCTGTCTTTTATACCCTATCCCAGCATCCCTTTTTAAAAGCTTTTATGACTTTTTCAAGCACGATTTTCTTTAAATTACTCTCTTCAGATAGGTGTATTCCCCTCTGATTTTAAAACTTCTACTATTAAACCTACTCTGAAGAGAAGCAATTTGGATGCATCAGTACTTGATAACTATAGACCTGTATCCAATTTGCCATTTTTAAGTAAAATTTTAGAAAAGATAGTTTTAAACCAGTTAAATGATTTTATCAATCACATAAATATTTATGAAATTTATCAATCAGGTTTTAGGAAAAATCTGAAAGACTGCTCTAGTTAAAATTGTAAATGACCTCAGATCCAGCATGGATAAGAAGCCACCATCTGTTTTAGTTTTATTGGACCTGAGTGCAGCTTTTGATACAGTAGACCACAAAGTTCTTTTAGATAGACTACAAAATTTTATTGGCATCTCTGGCACTGTTTTTAACTGGTTTGAATCTTATCTTTGTGATAGACAATTTTACGTGAACCTTGGGGATCGCTCATCTAAATGTTTTGACATGAAGTATGGTGTTCCCCAAGGTTCCATTTTAGGCCCTACTCTTTTTAATCTTTCTATGCTACCTTTAGGGAATGTCATCAGGAGATAAGGCATCAATTTCCACAGCTATGCTGATGACACACAACTTTATGTCGACGTGTCTCCTGATGACACAGGGTCACTCAATGCCCTTTTTAACTGCATTTTAGACATTAAATCATGGATGGCAGAGAATTTTTTACAGCTCAACCAGGACAAAACTCAGGTTTAAGTCATTGGGACAGGGGACAAGAGAGAAACTGGTCAGCAAACTCAAAGCATTATCATATAGTCCAAATCAACAAGCCAAAAATTTAGGAGTTTCATTTGATTCAGAATTAAGCTTTGGGCTTTGAACCGATTTTAAGTTCTCTGCATTGACTACCCGTCTCTTTTAGAATAGATTTTAAGATTGCTTTATTGGTTTTTAAAGCTCTTAATGGCTTTGGCCCTTTTTATCTATCTGATCTTCTTTTACCTTATGAGCCAGGTCAAGCCCTCAGGTCTTCAGGAAGTTCTCTGTTAACAATACCGAAAGTTAAAACCAAGACATACGGCGAGGCATCTTTTTATTACTATGGCCCCCGTCTGTGGAACAGCTTACCTGAAGACCTGAGGACTGCACTTAATCTTAATGATTTTAAAAGCAAAATGAAAACAAACCTTTTTAGTCTTGCTTTTAACTAAAATTTATATAATTAACTTTGAGTGTTTTAGCATTTATCTCTTTCTAGTTTTAATCACAGGAGCATCGTTTATTGAGCTATTTTGGTGCTCTTATTTTAGTATCTTTTACTCTTTTTTTTATTTATTATTTCTTAAATTTCATTCTTTGTTCCTTTGTTTTTAGATTTTAACAAAAACCTCCAGTGTTTCCTTATCCTGAGTTTTAAAATGACATTTCCTCAGTGCGCACATTCCTGTTTCCACAAAATCAAGCCCTTTTAAGTTTATGCATTTTATTACTGTTTCTGTTGCAATTAGATCGTGGGGTGGGAATGAGGGGTTGGGCTGGGGTTTAATTTGGTATTCTTTTAATCTTGGGTTAGGGTAAATTTGGGTATTCTTTGTTTCTTTATTCCTTTTTCTGTGTGAAGCTACATGTTATGTATAAAAAGTGCTATATGAATAAAGACTGATTGATTGATTGATTGATTGATTGATCTGGTCCATGAAGTCTTTCAATCTGTCAGCCACAGCCTTGGAGAGGATCTTATTGTGCATAGAGAGCAGGGAAACAGGATGCCAGTTCTTCATCTCCTGAAGATCACCTTTTTTTGGCAGCAAAGCAATAACTGCTCTCCTGACTTTTCTGTCAGTCGTTCATTTCAAACTGCTAGCAGATCTCCCAGCTCCTCCTACAAAGTCATATCAAATTCAACAGGAAGTCCATCGACTCCAGGAACGCTTCCTCCATCCATGCTCTGCAGGGCTGTAGTCGACTCCTGGAGGTGTAGAAGCTTCCCCAGCAGCTGGTTCGACTCTTCAGAGACCCGGTGCAGATCATGAGAGAAGAAGTCAAACAGGTCTTTGTGTTCTGAATGTTCACTGCAGTCCAGCTCAGAGTGAAACTCCACAGCACGTCTCCTAATGTCTCCGGCCTCCTTCAGCTCCTGTCCTGTCGCTGGTCCATGGCTGTGGATGCACCTTCTGTCCATTGTTCTGATCCAGACTGAAGAAAAACTCTGAAACCTGGATCTGACGAGAGCCCCCTGAGCTCTGGAGTCCATGCAGGTCCCTAAGGTGAGAGCTGTCTTTATTGTTTTGAGGACCTAATATGTCCTCGATCTCCTGTTGAGTCTACTGAAGATTGGAGCCCCACTATATGGATCTTCAGAGCCTTCACAGATCTGGTCATGTCCCACATGACATTGAGAGTGTACTGTTGACAGAAGTTTTGGATTTCTGTCATCCCACAATCCCACCACTGTCTTAGGGCTCTAAAATTTCACCATAAAAACTCAAAACTATCTAAATATGTACAACCACGCAGGAAAGAAGTGTTCAAGTCTCAAAATACACTTCTGATAAAACCATGACTAAGTGCCACAGACTGATCAGTAAAACCAGCAGGTCCAATCAAACTGTCTTTAAAACTCTTCGTTTGATACTTAAAACAACCAATTTTTATTGGTATGATACTATGTATGATACTTTTCAAAGTATTGATACTTTTGACAACCCTTGTGCAGACATTTCTTATTTTCAGAGGTGACACCAATGACAGTCAAAGTCATCAACCCTCAGATAACACCGGATTAAGCTCCTCATTCCTCTTGTGTATCAGCATCTAGACCTGACATCTGGGAGAGACCACATGGCTCAGCTGGGTTCACTGGAGAAGATTACCTTTCTGTACGGCAGAAAAAATTATGAGGAGGGTAAATGGAGAATAAACAATGAGAGAATAAACAGTGAGCACAAACTAAACAACACATAAAGAGAGAAAAACAGTTAGAAAAAACTATAGCTCCCTCAGAGGTCAAAAAGTTAGAGAGTATGAGTATTGTGATGATTTGTCAATATTGTAATAATAGTCATGCCAATAAAGCTTACTGAAATTGACAAAATTAAGAGAGACAGTGTGTGTTTATATTCGGTGTATATTCAACTATGTGTGGATATAAAACAGTGGAAATCTTTCTGTGATCCATGAGGTTTATATGAGGGGAATAAATGTTGATGCATTTAGTAAAATGTTGGTGCAGTTGATCTTCAGGACGGCTGCAGCTTTAATAACCTCTGCTTGTTGGAGTTTGAGAGTCTAAAGTTCACATCGCCTCTCCTCTTCCTGGATTGTAGAAAAACTGGATTTCCCCTCCCTCGTCTCTCACACAGCTCACTCCACTCTGCACACTCACTTCCTTGTTCCCTCCCCTTCAGATCTACAGTCTTAAGGCTGGGCGTAACCAGCGTGTGCTGAGCTGATCCTGCTGACACACACATGTTGTTGAGATCAGAGCTCAGACTAGTTTCACTTCTGAGGAAATGAAACTCAGTCAGTCGTCGACAGCGAGTGTTGCAATGGCGGAGAAAGGAGTTCAGCTGGACCGTGAATCTCTCTCTTGTTCCATCTGTTTGGATCTACTGAAGGATCCGGTGACTGTTAACTGTGGACACAGTTTCTGCATGAGCTGTATTCAAACCTACTGGGATGAAGAGGATGAGAAGAAGATCTACAGCTGTCCTCAGTGCAGACAGACCTTCATACCAAGGCCTGTCCTGAAGAAAAGCACCATGTTAGCAGGTATAGTGGAGAAACTGAAGAAGAGCCGACTCCAAGCTGCTCCTGATGATCCCTCTGATGCTGGACCTGAAGATGTGGCCTGTGATTTCTGCAGTGGGAGAAAACTGAAAGCTGTCAAGTCCTGTCTGCAATGTCTGGTTTCTTTCTGCCAGATTCACCTCCAGCCTCATTTTGAATCACCTTCATTTAAGAAACACAAGCTGGTGGAGCCCTCCAAGAAGCTACAGGAGAACATCTGCTCTCGTCATGATGAGGTGATGAAGATGTTCTGCCGCACTGATCAACAGTCTATCTGTTACCTCTGCTCTGTGGAACAACACAAAGGCCACGACACAGTCTCAGCTGCAGCAGAAAGGACTGAGAGGCAGAAAGATCTGGAGGAGAGCCGAGAAAACATCCAGCAGAGAATCCAGGACAGAGAGGAAGATGTGAAGCTGCTCCAACAGGAGGTGGAGGCTATCAACGGCTCTGCTGATAAAGCTGTGAAGCACAGCCAGGAGATCTTCAGCCAGCTGATCCATCTCATGGAGAGACGCCGCTCTGACGTGGAGCAGCAGGTCAGATCCCAGCAGGAACATGAAGTGGGTCGAGTCAAAGAGCTTCAGGAGAAGCTGGAGCAGGAGATCACTGAGCTGAAGAGGAAAGACACTGATCTGCAGAAGCTCTCACTCACAGAGGACCACAACCAGTTTCTGCACACTTACCCCTCACTGTCAGAACCGGGTCAACCTGCAGACTCATCCAGGATCAACATCCGTCCTCTGAGATACTTTGAGGAGGTGACAGCAGCTGTGTCAGAGATCAGAGATAAACTCCAGGATCTTCTGACAGAGACGTGGACAAACGTCTCACAGGCAGTGACTGAAGTGGATGTTTTACTGTCAGAACCACCAGAATCGAAGACCAGAGCTGGTTTCTTAAGATATTCACAAAGAATCACACTGGATCCAAACACAGCACACACATGGCTGTTATTATCTGATGGAAACACAAGAGCAACAAGGACAGGACAATCACAGTCTTATCCTGACCACCCAGACAGATTCACTGTTTCTTATACTCGGGTCCTGAGTAGACAGAGTCTGACTGGACGTTGTTACTGGGAGGTGGAGTGGAGAGGGGACAAGGTTTATATAGCAGTCTCATACAAGACTATCAGCAGAGCAGGGACCTCAGATGATTGTATATTTGGAAACAATGACAAATCTTGGACGTTAGTCTGTTCTAAAGACAGTTATGAATTTGTGCACAACAAAGTCCGCACTTGTGTCTCGTGTCCTCAGTCCTCCAGAGTAGGAGTGTACCTGGATCACGGAGCAGGTATTCTGTCCTTCTACAGCGTGTCTGAAACCATGACTCTCCTCCACAGAGTCCAGACCACATTCACTGAGCCACTACATGCTGGACTGTTACCCTGGTCTGATGGAGACTTTGCTGAGTTTAGTGAAGTGAAGTAAAGAGAATTTTGAGTCCATCAGACCAAAAACATGTAATGAGATCATTGAACTCTTGAAATGTTCTGCTTTGTAAATGTTTGTGGATCAGTCTCACCAAAAACTCTCAGTTTAGTTCTTCATTTCAGCTTTTTCATTCTTTTCTAAAGAGGCTGATTTGGTCGCAGCTTTAAGGACAGTGATTGTGGATAACTTTGATTGTTTGTATTTCTCATATTAAAAAAATCTTCACTAAAGTTTGATAACAACAACATCAAGATGATCATTTGTTCAAATCACCTTCAGTTGGTGCAGATGTTGAAGGTCTGAGACTTTAGAAAAAAGTGACGTCAAAAGAAGGACAGAAAGAGGATAAAAGCACAACCTTATTTCCTGTCCCAAATCAAACCGTCTCCAAAGTCTTTCCAGTCATCCAAAAAAACACTCGAAATGATCTGTGCTTTCTCTGTTTGCTGAATATTTGTATTCATGTCATGGATGTATATTTCTGTCTGCTTCTGTTGGATCAGTCTGTTTGTAAAGACATCTTTAATTAGACTTTTGGCAGATCCACATGTTATAATGAACTTTTCAATCACTCTAATAATAATCACATTCATTAGTCCGACTGTTTGTGTGTTTCTGACTCAGCTCAGATTGTGGTGAAATCTCTGATTGTGGGTGAAAACAATAAAAATCATTAAACTGATTCACTGAAATCACCTCGCCTGTTCCTCTTTAGTTAGTCTGTTTCTGCTGGATCACCTGTTACTGGTCTGTCTGGGTCATGGATTCATGTGGTCTGCAGGATTTCCATGATGTGGTCACTCACAGGTGTTCCAGGTCCCAGATGTGAGTCCTGCAGCTGGATCAGGTTTTCTGTTAATGAGAGGAAAAAGACAGGTGGCTGGTTGTGAGTCTCTTTCTCTGACGTCTGTCAGTCCATACTTAGATATACAGAGAGAGAGATTTTGATTTGAAAGACAAACTTTATTTACAGTCAGTTATGAATATTTACAGAGGAAAGAGAAAAAAAAGAATGAACATTGAGTATCAGTTGAACTTTTCTACATCTTGAAACAAAGACTGAAAACCAGTTTCTCCTCCTGTACAGAGCAGATGAAGTCTCTGTAAGACCACATCAGACACAGCTTTGGAGAAGCTCAAGTCCACCTGCACTCTGGCTCTCACCTTTGACACAAACATCTCAGTCACCTCTGAACTTAGCTGCCTTTTCTCCTCTAATAAACACACACACACACACACACACACACACACACACACACACACACACACACACACACACACACACACACACACACACACACACACACACACACACACTATCTGCATCAGTGTAGTGCAAGCAGTGAGGATCAGGGTGTGTGTGAGAGAGACCTGGTCAGGATCTGTCCTGAATATCGAGCTGGGCCCCATGAATCAGAAGTTCCTCCAGCAGCCAGTGTGGGGACAAAGTGAGCTCCAGTCTCCAGGTTTTAGAAAGGCTTTGATAAAAGGCAGACAGGTTAAAGAGGTTCAGACAGTCTTTTTCTCTCTTTTTTTGGCTGGTTCTTTTTTGTTTTGGTTCACAACTAAACAGTTAAAAAAATCTCCTCCCTCTCCACTCCTCTCTCATTTCTTTCACCCCTCTCTCTTTTTCCTCTCCACTCCACTGCTATATTTAAAAATTGTTGTTTTTGTGTCTGTTTTGCCTTTTATTAATTATTTCAGAGACACTAAGAGAAATTTGGCAGAGCTCTGCGGCTTCTTTGAAATCTTACCGGTCTGTGCTGAAACCTGACACCATAGTCTGGTTACTTCCTGGCTCATTTTCATACTAAACAGTGATTGGATGTTTACTGAGGGGGAGGAGTGTGTGTGTGTGAGTGAGCCTGAGAAAATACACATGCAGCAGAGCAGAAGGACTGAGAAAAGAGAGGAGAGGAATTCTGAATCTTGTTTTAACAACACAATTTAACAACACATACTGTACAACCCAATGAAGCCAGTCCCAGAAAGACCTCACAAGTATAGTCTCTATCTGTTTCAGTAGGCCAGCTGGGGGCTCACCACAGACCATCTTATGCCACAGATCACATGAGACCAGGTTGTCAATGACCAGTAATGACCTCCGTGGTAACAGCCATCTCCATGTGCTTATTGCTTCAGAAACAGACTCCAGTGTAACAAGGTAGCCTCTCAATTATTAACAGTTTCCTGAAGCATACTCAGTGACTTGACAGAATATTTACATACATGGCAACGTGTGATAATATTCAAACACAAGTGGATATGATTTTGTGACTTTTTACACCTTTTATTTAAAATGGAAGCATGTGAATTTTTGGTTGTCCTGTAGCTGATATGGTTTTAGGGACAACACATTCAGATTTACATTTGGGGAACGGAATGGCTACAGCTGACACATCTTAATGCTGAAAACAGATAACTTTAAGCCTTTTTTTCTTTCTATGAGCATTAATGTTTGTTCAAGTAAACACAAATGTACTGGTACCCCAATAAAAAGGCTAAGCTATCTGGAAAGATTCCCATCCCATTACACCCTTAACCTAACATCAGTGTTACAGTGTTACAATGTCGCTTGTTTGTGAAAGAGCCCTAATGAGTCGATCACCGAGTGCAGCAAATCATTTCCTTGAAGTAATAATCATCATATTAATCATTTTGAACTGCAGACGCAGTAGTTCTTCTGCCTTAGCGTCTCGGTCTGATTGCATTTCCATGAAGTAATAATCATAAATGTTCTTCCTTGAGCTGCGAAACTCCGCTGCACTCGATGATCGATTCATCAGGGCTCCCCCACAAACAAACGGCTGCTGGAAGAGAGTGGGTGAGTTGTGTTTGGTCTCTTTGCTCAAGAAACCAGGCAAGGCTAAAAAGATGTTTTGTGGCTAGTACTATGGCTGGAACCCTATATGTACTGTTGATGAAGTTAGGTGCTGTTCTGAGCATTTTTTCACTCCCTGGTTCTCTGTGGTTCTCTAAAAAGCTCCTGGTGGAACACAAACCACTGGAGGGCAGATCATGAGAAACACTGTACACTGCCACCACCTGCTGTTTTTACCTGCTGCCCAGAAACAATCTCAGAAAGTGACTTTTGGATGTAACCAGCTGAAGAGAGTTGGGGGGATTTCTGTCAAGGGCTTGTGTCAACTTCAAATACACGTTAAGGTGTGAGCTTTAAAATTCACAGTGAATACCTGATAAGCAGGTCAGTGCTGTGGCTGAGTGGTGACCTCATCTGGACTGAAGTTGTCTACTCATCTGGTAAAGTTCAATGGCGGCCCATTGTGCGCCTTGTCAAGCTAATCCAGGTTGTTTCAGAAAACTCTTCACTACTGGCTGAAAGCTGTGTTTTATGATGATCCTGAGCGCAGGTCACTCTGTGGATCAGGCACCTCTGATAATGTCAGCCTCTCTTTAATGACTTTGACAGCAGCTCGTGCTGTTCTTCACAAAGTTTGAAAGACTTCCCCAACAACACGGACATCAACGCTCCTCTATAATTAGGGTCACAAACGCTCTGTTGAACCATGTAATTTTTCAAACATTGTGTGACAGTTACAGAGGGCACGTTGAGAACTGCTCTGCTCTCCTCTGTCACCTATGTGTTATTTAATATTCAGGGCTGGGGAGAGGAGAGAGTAGACAAACTGATGTGGTGCTTCAGAGACCGCAGAGGCAGTTCAAACATCACCAAGGGCGAGTCAGCCAATGAGGACGTTGTTCATGAAGTCTGAGGTTTTGTCGACAAATGTTTAGCTAAAAATTAATCAAACAAGTGTTTTTTATGGCATTTGGATTCAAACTGTACATTCAATGTTCAGCAGACAGCTCACTTCAACACCTCCATCCTGAAGAACGGCACTGAGATGATCAGGGGCTGAGATGACAAACAAACAAAAAAAAGTAATAATAATAATAAAAATAAAAATAATGATAATAATAATAATAAACTTTATTTATATAGCACTATTCTAGAACAGTTGTCACAAAGTGGTTCTCAGTTATCAATTTAAAAGGGTGAGACAACAAGACTGTATGGTGTTGAAGGCACTGGAGAATTCATAAACACCTCACAGTGCTTCCACACCTGTCCACTGGTCAGTACAGTGTTGTCAACATATTAATTGATATAGTTGGTGAGACTGTCAATATCCTCCTCATGATCCCCACAGAACACTTTCCACACAGTTAAAGCAAAACAGTCTTTAAGAGCCTTGTCAGACCATCTATTTATGGTGTGTGTATCAAAATACTGTCCATTTAATTCTTTTTGAGAAGAGAAAAAAACCCCAAAAGAGCTTTAGTTTTCCAGATACCCTTTCCAAGGTAGACCAAAGCATGACGGCTTCAGTGCCTTCAGAGATTCTCAGGCAACACAGATAGAAAGTTTGAATTTCAAAAGACATTGGAGTAGGACTGGGGCATTATATGATCATGATAAATTTCAGTTCAATCACAGTGATCAGCTGTGAGCATATTTACTCGATCAAACATAGCGGAAATGTGTGTGACAACAGCCATTCAGAATCGATCTTTTCCCGCTCACTTCTGTGAGTTGCCCGAGAAGTAAACAGAGGAAGTAAACTAGCGATGCAGCCATCAGACCAAAGCAGCAATCAATCGTATCATCTATGTTAATAATAATCGGGATAAGACGATATGACAAAATAAATTGTGATCATTTTTTCGCCCAGACCTACATCCAAGTGAAAACAGGGCCTCATACAGTGGAAACAGCTACAGTCAGTGTGGCAGGATCAACCAGCTTAAACAACATTATGAACGAGTAAACGACACATCCAAAGGTTTACTAGCATTGAAACAGCGCTTCACTTATGGATCACATGGACCCATTTGGACTTCAGAGATGAAGTGATGAGCAAAGGTGACTTTGATGCGAAACAGTGATATTCATTTCTGAGAGCACGCCAACACAGCTCAAATGTGTGTGTGTGTGTGAGAGAGTGAGTGTGTGTGGATCTAAGCTTTTTTATGTGCTTTGATCTATAAGAAATATTTTGTCTTTTTAATTATCTTTTGTGCAATAACGCCTGCAGCTGTTATAAAACATGATGGATTGGGGACTGTGAACTCCCTACAACATAATTAACAGAATAAAGGAATGACAATCACTTATAGAAATGACTCGAATGTTATTGCAGTCCTTTGTGCCCCTTGAAAGGAATACTTATTCACTGCATAATTTTCAAAATATAAAACTAATTATCAGAAAAGTTGGAAAATGGCATAAAAAAAAGTTTATATTCTTACAAAGCTCTACCAAAGGGTCTGCAGTGAAACTATTGAGCAGTGCTGAAAGGCCTACGACTCCCTGAAGTAAAGTTACCTGCAGTTTACTGCGCAGAATAACATAAAAAGCTCAAGGTTTAGGTGTTTTATATAGCCTCAAAAGCAACAAGAAGCATCTCCCGCCCTGTCCTTAAAACTAGGAAAGGGCCTGCGGTCTTATTGTAGCTTTTCTCACAGATGTTTTACCGAGTACCTCCGGTCACAGCAGCCCTCCGCTCAGCTCGCTCACATTCGACTGTCTGCAAACATATCCACACATGCATGCTTCTATATGACTGCGTACGAACACATTGAGAGATAAGATAAAAAGACAGAGAGCTGCAGCTCACAGCACCAGAATGACCTGTAAAAAGTTACTTCCTCTGATCCCTCTTTTCTTCCTTTAGCATTTTCATCCTTTTATCTCGTCATTTTCTTTCCAAGCCTCTTTATAAAATGCCTCCCAGTGCCTAAAAGATTCTTGCTATTTTTTCTATTGTGTAAGAAAATGGACTGTTTTATCTCCTCCCTTCAAAACCCTGGGACAATGCTGCACTTTTATGATGTACTTATACAGAAATATAATACCTTGTCATGGTTTTAAATGTAAATGTTACACCAGATTCAAGTTTTTCTTTGTTTCTGCCCTTACTGGAAGCTAATCAAAATTTCCTCTCCACACTGCAGGTTTTGGGGAGAGAATCAAACCGTGATACTGCCACGATTACTACCTTGCTGAGTACAGGAGGGTGAAGCTCTAACCCTTGCAGTGATGCTTTTGTCCGTCTCAGTTCTTCCGATTTCTCTCTGGAGTCTCCACTGGTGGCAGAGTCCAGTCTCTGCTGTTTGTTTTGTCATGTTTGATGATGACTACCTCTGACTGCTGTGTGTCTGTGGGCGACTCTCATCCAGACCTCATGACGTCCTCACTAATGGATCCTTATCAGCTCCGGGTCAACTCACAACATACTGGCTGTGCACTTCAACATTTAACTTCTGCTTTTTCTGCTCCCTCTATTGCTGGTGCATAAACACAGCACATGTAGCCTACTTTAAAACACACATGTTAAGGTGTTGATACGTTTTCTAAATATGAGTATGACACAGTTCAGCAGAGAATGAAAAACGGTCTCTGGTTTGACTAGCACTCCAAGTACCAATAGTTCAGTTGAAATGCAGATGTGGTGGCTGGACTACTTCCAAACCGACAGCCTGGAGCTGAGACTGCAAGCTTATTTCTCTTTAGTTTCTTCCCAAAATGTGTTTGAGTCAAATTTCGTGTTTTTTCAGGGACAGCTAGCACTGATTTTAGAGTCCTCACCAGAGGAGAATCAAAGCATGACTATTCCCAATGACTTTAGAATAGTCCTCCAGGTGTAAAATTGATATGCCTCCCCTTTGGTAACGTATTTTGTCAGTGACTCGATAAGGACAGAATAAAACATCAGAAGTTGATGAAGTAAAGAAATGCTCACAGCATGTCAGAGCAGCAAGGACCTGCCTTTCAATCTGGCTCTTTTAACTGTGGATGGGTGTGATGTTTCTGTTGAATCTTCAAGCTAGACTCATAGGTCTGCTCAATCTAACTACTCAACCTTCAGTCCACTTAACAAGCGGTAAAGAGGTGGAGTTCAGGCAGGCCTTCAGCCTCCTTTCTACTATTTCCTTCCTGTTGATCAAGTCAGCCATGCCTCCGGTTATGTAAGACTTTACCTTAATAACACAAAACTAATAATTAAAAAAAAAAAAAAAAAAAAAAACACTACCTCCTTTACAGGCTGATAGATAGAGAATATAGAAATGAGCGGTTGAGACTAAAACTGTATTTTGTACCAGGGTGCAAACATGTTGATTTAGCTGTATAAATGTTCTTCTTTTTGAAAGGGTGTGTATGTGGCTTCTCGGACAGTTGCAGCCAGCCTCAAGTGGACATTCAAGGAACTGCAGTTTTTAGCATCTTCATTCATAATGGCTTCATTTCTTCAGACTTGATGTTGCTGCCAGGTTTTCATACCAAAACTAACCAGTCAGGAAAAATGAATGACTTAAATTAGCAAGGAACTCCAACAAAAGAAAACACATTTGTGTCATTGCAACATTGGTATTATTGTCTTATTGGGAAGAATGGGATGGGACATTTTAAACCTAAAATTTCAGCCTCCTTATAAAACCATTCTTTGCTTATAAAAACAATGACATCATTTGATCATATAGCATCTTTTAAAGTAGCATTTCAGTGACTGAGATAAGCTCTCTAAGGATAAATCTGGAGTTACCAGACTGTTGGTGCTGAGCCATGAGAACTCCGTCCTTTGCGTCACCCACACATGGCTGCATGTCGGACAGCCTGATGGCTCCATTTAAAAGGAATACCTCATCTTCACTATGTTATCATGACCAAACAAGAGGCCAGATGAGGCCTCTGCTTCATATCCTAGAGAAATGGAGGCGCAGTGACAGCGATTTGGGGCTTTTTGCTGTTGGAGCGCTAATAAATTAATTGATGTTATTTTT